AATAACTATGTTGTTTTTTAGATTCTGGTCGATATATATAATATAACCCCATATTTTCCGGGTTTTAATATGGATGTAAATCCTTCCTCTGCTTTCCTGAACCAGATGTTCTGACAGTGGAAGTTAACGTCAGAATGAAAGCTTCCCCACATTCATCGGCTGCTTGGTGTTTGAGTGAAACGGCAGCAGATTACAGAAATAAGCGAGGCTTCGTTTGCATCATTTCTTTATTGCAGACAGTTTTTAAAGTTACACACATGGAGGCTGAGCTGATCAGCTGTCACTGCGAGCAGAATAATGTGTGATACAGGAGGCTGGACCTCGTGGGAACATGTTCGCTGCAGCTTCGCTAGTCTTGTTTTAATCAAGACAAACTTTGAAGACTCTTGATTGTCACACGGTCAAATCCTCTCAAATGGCAATTTTTTTTTTACTATTTTTTTTGTCTCAGAGGTGATATATAGCCCCATTTACAATAAGCTTTTGAAACCCTGCCGAGATCGGTCGGAGCACAGTAACCAAGGTAACAGTTTAGTGTAAATGGAAAGTAACCGAACCGCGCTAACTCTAGTGCTAGTTATCAGTAGAGCTCGGCGCGGCTCAGTTGTGGCTAAGTTCTCTGATAGCCTCGTTTACACTCTAAAAACCGATCTGAGCAGAGTTCCTTGCAATTTATGCTTGTTTTTTTTACGACCACTTCCATACCACGCTAGCGCAGTTTCTTGCCTCCTAGTGGCGATCTATGGTACTACTGCTCTCTAGAGGAAAAAAAAAAGCAAACCAACATGGCGGCGCCCATAACATTCAGGAAGTTTGGTATCATTGACCTCCGATAGGAGGCGAGGAACCGTGCTAGTGTGGTGACTAAATAGTCGTAAGAACCAAGCTTGAAACGGTTAACGGATCCAGGCTCCTTCCGAACTCGGCACGGTCAACTGATCCAGGCTCGGTCCGAACTCGGCACGGTTACCGGATCCAGACTGGGTCCGAACTCAGCGCGGTTAACGTATCCAGGCTCGGTCCGAATTCGGCACGGTTAACGGATCCAGGCACGGTCCGAACTCGGCACGGTTAACGTATCCAGGCACGGTCCGAACTCGGCACGGTTAACGGATCCAGGCTCGGTCCGAACTCGGT